GTGCAGGGAGAAAGCAGTCTTTCAGAGAGGCCAAATTCGGGAGAATGAGAGAGAAATAACGGAGCCACCGGTGCCCCATTCTCAGGCGAGAACTCACCCCTTCCTCTTTCAGCACCGTCCAGACGTTGGGCAGGGCCTGCCTCAGCACTAGCTCTACCTCGAAGGCCTGGAAGCCTGCGGCAGGGAAACACAAGGCACACGCAGCCCTGGAACGGCACTGTGCTTCCCTCCACAGAAGCTAAGGGGTAGATGGGTCAATCGGAAAGGCGGCTCTCAGGGGCTCAAGAGCCTGTGAGCCAGCAGCAGGGCACGGCCTTGCTTTGACGTGACCTAGGGCAGGACTCCAAGTTTTTGATCTCAGTGCCATTCTTACATTGGGGATGCCAACGAGTTTATGTGAGTTACAGCTATTCATATTAACCATATTAGAAATTAAAATTCAAAGCTTAAGTTTCTTTTAAACAAAAAACCCATTATATATTAACAAAAGTAACACTTATAAAAAAAATAACTATTTTCCGGAACAAAACAATTTAGTGAGAAGAAAAATATTGTTTCATATTTCTGCAAATCTCTTTAACATCTGGCTAGAACTTCATATCTGCATCTGCATTCCATCTGTTGTGATACATCGTAATTGCTGAAATATATGAAGAAGATCCAGCCTCAAACAGATGTGTAGATGGAAAAGGGAACAGAATATCTAAAAATCAAGTGACTGGATATTCTTAATAGTGCACCAAAATTCAACAAGCCGTAGTTTCTTAAAGAGGAGTTGTAATGTGGAATGATACCATGTTAATGAATTTTGTTTTGTTACCTTAAAATTCACTGGCCTATCTTATACCTTGAATCTTTTTTATCCATGACTTTGTAACATCATGCATTGGTTATTTGGAAAGCACCAATTGGCAGTTATGCAGATCTTTCAAATGCCCACACATTTCATTACACAACACATCAACTAGGCATTTGTGAATGTGACCACTGATTTCAAATAGGTCTTGGTACGGGAAGTTGTCAAAGCTTATGGTAGCAGGTGCAAGTTCTGCAAAATTCCAGTTTTTGATTGAAAGCTTTAATTTTATCACTAGCAAATACTATGAGTTTCCTTGAAGTGACAGGCTCACTTTATTCATTTGAGAAAATGATTGCAAAATACCCAAGTCTAAATTGATCAGTCAGTCTTTCCAGTAAGAAATCACATTTCATAAAAAACAACAAACAAAACAAAACAAAAAAAACAGGCTGGGCACAGTGGCTCACGCCTGTAATCCTAGCTCTCTGGGAGGCCGAGGCGGGCGGATTTGCTCCAGGTCAGTTCAAAACCAGCCTGAGCAAGAGCGAGACCCTTCTTACTATAAATAGAAAGAAATTAATTGGGCCACTAATATATATACAAAAAAATACGCGCATGGTGGCATGCCTGTAGTCCCAGCTTACTGGAGGCTGAGGCCAAGGATCGCTTGAGCCCCAGGAGTTTGAGGTGCTGTGAGCTAGGCTGATGTCACGCGCACTCACACGTAGCCTGAGCCACAAAGTAAGACTCTGTCCTCAAAAAAAAAAAAACCAGCCTAATTCAGCTCTCAACTCAAGAAACTGCACAAATGCTTTATTCCAACACAACCGCTGTATTTTGGTATGCAGCAGTGTTTTCTGTGTACTTATTTTTTGCATCCTTGTTGACATAAAGTTAAAAGGTGAGCAACCAAAGGTTGAGATTTAATAAAACTAAGAATAATACTTCTTCACCGCAAGGAAGTTCTTAAGCAAACGCTGGCCTTTTTAACCTGAGAGAGAGAGAAGCAGCAATACAATGACTACACCAGCACACTTTGGTGTCCTGCCTTGAATTTGTGCTGAGGTGCCAGCAGGTTTGGCCCCACCATTGCTTTAGCACCAGTGCAGCACGTGCAGCGATGACAACCAGCAAGGACAGTCTGAGGGTGATGACTCGGGAAAATAGTTTTGACTTTGTGGACGCCCCTTAAGGAAGAGTCTCAGACTCTGGATCACGCAGGACCAGGCTCTGAGACTGCTAAGCTAGGGGCCAATGTTTTTCCATCCATGTACGCTGCACTGGCACTGTAGGAGAAAAAACTCCAGATTAAGCAAGATCAGGCCGCCGCTGTGGCTCACGCCCCTCTAACTGCTCACTCGCACCGCCGGCCTCTGCCTCCAAGGTCAAGGCTCCTCACACCACACCCTGAGCCCAAGAGGGCGAGACCCTCTCTACTATCAAATACACACACTAATTGGCAACTGATATGTAATAAACACACTCTCACGCGCACTCCCCGCTCGGCACTCTCACTCGCTCTCGCACCTGAGGCAGGAGGATTGCTTGAGCCAGGAGTTTGAGGTTGCTGTGAGCTAGGCTGACCGCCGACGCACTCCACTCTACCTGGCCAAGCAAAGTGAGAACCTCCTGTCTTCCAAAAAAAAAAAAAAAAAAAAACAAGATCATAAACATAGGACGTAATGGCTCAGCCTCCAGCACCAAAAGATAGCTCCCAATGAATGTAACTTGACCGTCCTCGGCCTTGGAAAATTCAAAGTAGGTTTTAAAAGTCCTCAATTTTGATTCAGGTCAGAGTTTTATCTAACCACAAGACACGTATCTAAGTGAACGAATCTGCACCAGATCAGTCCATGACGCAGTTGGGGACGAGGATGCCACGGGAAAGGAAGGGTGGCAGCATGACAGTGACCTGTCGATGCTCCCAGGTCCGGCGAGGAGGCAGCCTCCCTGCCTACAGCGATACCCGGGAGAGTCCATCGCATGTTCCTTCCTCGGCCAGGTCCAGCCACGCGCGTCACTTCATCAATCACCACCTTTGAATTTGGTCTTTATGAGAGAGCTAAAAGACGGCACATAAAGAGGCAGGATGTTGAGGAAGCCGCACCAGGTCGGCTAAGACAATGTTACAGGTGGTTTCTGAGGCTCCTGGTTAATACTGGCCATTCATGGAGAAATGCACGCAAAAAGAAAAAGAAGCCGGTTTTTTTATCCCCCTTAGTCCTTCTATGCAATAGGCAAGCCCAAACAGCTGCCTACATTCCTCCTGTAGGCTGCAGCAGGAATTCACATTCCATCCTTTCTATGTGCTCTGGGATTGGAGGCAGGGATACTGGTATCTAACCAATACTAAGCAATTCTACCAGCAACCTGCTTCTTTATGTCAGGTTTCAGAGGTGAGCAGAGACTATCCTGGAAAATAAGGGGAAAAGACAGGGATTGGTAACAGATGCCATTATCCTGTGCCTTAGAAATAATTTATTGAGATACAACCGCTTCTCCAATTTGAAAAATAACAGGTTAACAAAATCCCAAATTTCATTTTTCCTTGATCCAAAAGCTACATTTTTCATATGAAAACCAGCACCAAGAATACAAAAAGAAAAAAAAAAAAAGAAAACCACCAACCAACAAAAACCCCTCTCAACAGTTATAACACTATTTACGACCAGATAGATCAATCCTCCAACACAATTTCAGGAGTTAACCACTTCGGTAGCCGCGCGCCGATACAGGTCCGACGCAGCCACAGAATGAACCGCCACAGCGACTTTAGCTCACAGCCGTGATATGTACTTTTCTAATTTCATTTATCAAAATAAAATTGTGAACATTTAAAAATAATGCAATGAAAACATATATATGAAGCTGTTAGCTATTCTGATTGCCAATTACAAGTTCAAAGCTGCCTGTAAAGTAACGACAACCTTTCAAGTGCTTTCAAGCTTTCCTCATCACCCAAGGCAAAACGGACGTCGTCGTCAATGCAGCCCAGCACACACACCTACCGTGTGCGACTGTGAGTGCCGGCTTGTGGGCCAAGGTTCGTGCCCAGTAGCGGCCGTACGAAAGTGGTTAAAAGCTGCTCTATATTTAGTCCCCCTTCCTGATAAGGCAAAGATCTAAAGCCTGAAGACTTTATAAATGATTTGTTCGAACGCCAACCTAGCTAGATAGCGGCTGGGCCTCCAGGCAACAGCACCGCTGCCCTGCTCAGCCTAAGGTCTTACCCACAGTGCTGCCGCTCGCACTCTGGTCACTCCTGATCCCAGCTCTATAGGGATACGAGGTTGCAGGACCTCGGACTGGCACAAGAGGCCAAAGAGGCAGAGCCTCTGCCCTTGGGGAGCACAGGCAAGTCTCATGCATGCCGGGGCAGACATGGCCAAACCAAGGCTCAAGTCTAGAGTCGGTGCCCAGCATGACCGGCACAGTCGAGGCTACCTGTGAGATACCATTGACAAATGCCTCAGGATCACACTGGGGACCAACACCTGACAGCAAGTCCAACAAAGCCATTTTAGCCCTCTAGTACTGGAATGGAATTCCTGTTTGGGTACCAAATTAAGAGTCAGTTTCTTTTTCTTTGTTTTTTTGGGTTTTTTTTTGAGAGAGAGTCTCACTCTGTGCCCTGGCTAGAGTGCTGTGGTGTAGCCTAGCTCACAGCAACCTCAAACTCCTGGGCTCAAGCAATCCTCCTGACTCAGCCTCCTGAGTAGCTGGGACTACAGGCATGCACCACCATGCCTGGCTAATTGTTTCTATATATTTTTAGTTGGCCAATTAATTTGTTTCTATTTTTAGTAGAGACAGGGTCTCACTCTTGCTCAGGCTGGTTTCAAACTCCTGACCTGGAGCCATCCAGCCACCTTGGCCTCCCAGAGTGCTAGGATTACAGGCGTGAGCCACCACGCCCGGCCTCTTTTTTTGTTTTTAGACATTAAGATCACACTCGATGCTGTGAGGTTCACACGGAAGCTGAAAGGGATGGAGGAGACTGAAGGGCATGCGCAGCTCAGGCCAGGCAGAGCAGCCCCTGGGCTGTCTTGGGGCTGTCTTGTCCAGCTGAGCACAAGCAGCAGAGCCACCCAGCTAAATGTGCACAGTGAGGCTACCACACTCTGGAAACAGAACACCCACCCGTGGAAATGCAGAGAAAACAGCAAAGAAACTAAAGAAGTTCTTGGAGCAAAGGCCATACCTGCGAACTTTCCAATTCCCACACAGAATGTTGTGCTTAATTTTCTTCTCTTGTTCTTCATTCATATATGGGATTCCATTTTTGAGAAACTAAGGACAGAAACAGAACGAGGGACTAGTCAGAGGTATCCTCTGTACCAGGCAGCAGAGGGAAGGGAAACCTTCCTGTCTTACGTGGACAAGGGGGGAAGGGGAAGGGATGGGCTACACAGGCCGGTGAGACTGGAACACACTTAAGACATGCCCATTTCCCTCCTCGATGCCATACCTTGTTGTAGTTGAAGCCATAGTGATTCAAAAACTGAACACTAGAAGCCTGGAAAGAGAATTCTGAATCCAAAATCCCAAATGTTGTAGGGAAGAGAAAGAAGTTGCACGAATGGGCTACATACCTATAAAAAAAGAGACATAAGGAGAAAAAGCCAAGACCATTTTATAAACTCTGGCTCACAGAGCAGACTTCAGGGTGAGTTCTCGTACATAAGTGGTATCTGAACATCTGCCGAGTTTCAGGTCCTAGGCCTAGCACTGGGCACCAGAGGAAAAAGGCAGAGATCCCGCCCTTGGGGAAGAGGATCTGCTGCAGAGACAGGCCCGCCCTCCACAAGCCCTCTGGAGCTGTTGGCAAGTCAGGACGCCCAGCTCGGCAGCCGCAGCAGTTCACAGGTGGGGGCCACCCCACAGATCAGGCATCCTTTCTGACTGTGGGTGCCTGTGAGCTACCGTGTAGTTTAAACACCCCTGTCTCCCACCATACTGTATTAACTGCTTTAACACAGGTACATGGCAATGGAAACGGGGAAAGGAGCCCTGGAGGTGCAGAGCAGCACTGGCGGGAGAGCCCCACAGGAACGATACTGCTACCGGAGAGGAGCAAAGGGTAAACCGCAATCTGCTGGGGCCAGTGCAGGCGGAAAAGTAGACATAAGTGAGAGCCTGAAGCACCCAAGGCAAAAGTGACCGGGACACCCCAGGCAGAATCTGAAGGGGGCAGTTGTGGAACACAGGTGAGAAGGAGCCATAGGTTTTGCAGAAGCTCTTTATACATACTTGTTTGCCTCTCTTTCCATACTGGAGAACACAGACAATCCTAGAAGAATGATAGTAGATGGAATGAATACCAAAGAAAAGCTACCTGAAGTTAACTACAGAGACAAAACATTTCGAACAGTACTTTGTATCCAGAGATACTGTGCCGGCCGAGGAACAGTAAACATCTTTATTGATAAACAAAAGGGGGAAAAAAAAAGAGAGACCAGAAGCACAAGAACTTTCAAACTGTAATTCATACTGAAATTACTATTATAAAATGTAATTGTGGCCCATTCTTCAAACACAAAATATTAAATTCACATTTTCATAGTTCTAAAACCAGAGGCACCAAAAACCACGAAATCTTATAAATTTAACTGCTTTAAAATGTGTTTTGCCAAAAAAAAAAAAAAAAAGGAAAAGAAATCATGCAGAGTAGACGACTTCAAATTGGGGTAAAACAATAGAAACATAACTAAGAGCTGTTTTCCATACTTCTGAAAGAGTTCCTATAATTTAAAAAAAATCCACCACCGAAAGTCAACAATAGAAAAATAGCAAAACAAAAAAACAGGAGAGGAAACACACAAACACACACACACAACACACACATATCCCATTTAGAGTAAAGGTATGGGCCAGTAAAATCTGGCCCAGGGTCTGTTTCTGTAAGTAACATTTCACTGGAATACAGCCATGCTCATTTGATTTTGTATTAACTATGGCCGATTTCAAGTTTCAAAGGCAGGATTGAGTAGATGTAACAGAAACCACATTGCCTGCAAAATCTAAAAAAAAACAGCTAATTCAGCTCTCAACTCAAGAAACTGCACAAATGCTTTTATTCAACACAACCGCTGTATTTTGGTATGCAGCAGTGTTTTCTGTGTACTTATTTTTTGCATCCTTGTTGACATAATATTAAAAAGGTGCGCAACCAAAGGTTGAGATTTAATAAAACTAAGAATAATACTTCTTCACCAAGGAAGTTCTTAAGCAAAGCTGGCCTTTTTTGAACTGAGAGAGAGAGAAGCAGCAAATACAATGACTACCACCAGCACACTTTGGTGCTCCTGCCTTAATTTGTGCTGAGGTGCCAGCAGGTTTGCCCACCATTGCTTTAGCACCAGTGCAGACGGCACGATGACAACAGCAAGTGACAGCTGAGTGATACTCGGAAAATAGTTTTGACTTTGTGGACCCCTTAGGAAGAGTCTCAGACTCCCGGGATCCACAGACCAGGCTCTGAGAACTGCTAAGCTAGGGCATGTTCATCATGGTGCTGCACTGCACTGTAGGAGAAAAAACTCAGATTAACAAGAGTCAATAAAATAGGAGTACATAGGGCACTCCAGCTCAGGCACCAAAAGGATAGCTCATGAATGTAACTTGACCTCCTCGGCCTTGAAATTCAAAGTAGGTTGAAAAGTCCTCAACTTTTGGATTCAGGTCGGAGTTTTATCTAACCACAAGACCACGTATCTAGTGAACGAATGCTGCACCAGATTCAGTCATGACGCAGTTGGGACGAGGATCCACGGGAAAGAGAGGGTGGCCCATGACAGTGACCTGTCCCGATGCTCCCAGGTGGGGAGGAGCAGCCTCCTGCCTACCAGCGATACCCGGAAGAGTCATCCATTCTCCTTCCTCGGCCAGGTCCAGCCACCGCGTCACTTCATCAATCACCACCTTGATTTGGTCTTTATCGAGAGAGCTAAAAGACGGGCACATAAAAGCAGGAATGTTGGAGGAAGCCGCACCAGGTCCCTAAGACAATGTTAACACGAGTGGTTTCTGAGGTTCCTGGTTTTAATGCTGCAATCTCATGGAGAAAATGCACCAAAGACCGTTTATCCCCCTAGTCTTTCTATGCAATAGGAAGCCAAACAGCTGGCCTACATTCCTCTGTAGGCTCACAGGAATACATTCCATCCCTTTCTATGTCTCTGGGATGCGTGGAGGAGGAGATATTGGTATCTAACCATTACTAAGCATTCTACCAGAACCTGCTTCTTTATTCAGTTTTCAGAGGTGACAGAGAACTATCTGGGAAAATAAGGAAAAGACAGGGACTTTGGTAAATGCATTCTCTGTGTTAGAAATAATATTATTTTGAGATAAGACCTTCTCCAACATTTGAAAATAACAGGTTAAAAATCCAAATTTCATTTTTCCCTTATCAAAAGCTACATTTTTATATGAAAACCAGCACCAAGAATACAAAAAGAAAAAAAAAAACCCACCCCAACCAACAAAAACCCCTCCAACATTATGTAACATATTTAGACCAGATAATCAATCCTCACATTTCAGAGTTAACCACTTCGGTACCAGCGTCGACTACAGTCGACAGCCACAGATGAACGCGCACAGCAACTTTAGCTGACAGCCGTGATATGACTTTTCTAATTTTTCATTTATCAAAATAAAATTGTGAACATTTAAAAATAATGCAATGAAAACATATATGTATATGTTACCTATTCTGATTTCCATTACAATTAAAGCTGCCTGTAAAGTAAGACAAGCTTTCAGTGCTTTCAAGCTTTCCTCATCACCCAAGAGCAAAACGGAGTCGTCGTCAATGCACAGCACACACTACCGTGCGGACTGTGAGTGCCGGCTGTGGGCAAGGTTTCGTGGCCAGTGAGCGCCGTACCGAAGTGGTTAAAAGCTGTCTAATTTAGTCCCCTTCCTGATAAAGGCAAAGAATCTAAAGCCTGAAGAGCTTAAATGATTTGTTCGAACCAACCACTAGCTAATAGCGCTGGGCTCCAGGCAACAGCACTGGCTCCCTGGCCACCAGCTCAGTCTACCCACAGTGCTGCCGCTCGCACTCTGGTCACTCCTGATCCCAGCTCTATAGGGATACGAGGTTGCAGGACCTCGGACTGGCACAAGAGGCCAAAGAGGCAGAGCCTCTGCCCTTGGGGAGCACAGGCAAGTCTCATGCATGCCGGGGCAGACATGGCCAAACCAAGGCTCAAGTCTAGAGTCGGTGCCCAGCATGACCGGCACAGTCGAGGCTACCTGTGAGATACCATTGACAAATGCCTCAGGATCACACTGGGGACCAACACCTGACAGCAAGTCCAACAAAGCCATTTTAGCCCTCTAGTACTGGAATGGAATTCCTGTTTGGGTACCAAATTAAGAGTCAGTTTCTTTTTCTTTGTTTTTTTGGGTTTTTTTTTGAGAGAGAGAATCTCACTCTGTGCCCTGGCTAGAGTGCTGTGGTGTAGCCTAGCTCACAGCAACCTCAAACTCCTGGGCTCAAGCAATCCTCCTGACTCAGCCTCCTGAGTAGCTGGGACTACAGGCATGCACCACCATGCCTGGCTAATTGTTTCTATATATTTTTAGTTGGCCAATTAATTTGTTTCTATTTTTAGTAGAGACAGGGTCTCACTCTTGCTCAGGCTGGTTTCAAACTCCTGACCTGGAGCCATCCAGCCACCTTGGCCTCCCAGAGTGCTAGGATTACAGGCGTGAGCCACCACGCCCGGCCTCTTTTTTTGTTTTTAGACATTAAGATCACACTCGATGCTGTGAGGTTCACACGGAAGCTGAAAGGGATGGAGGAGACTGAAGGGCATGCGCAGCTCAGGCCAGGCAGAGCAGCCCCTGGGCTGTCTTGGGGCTGTCTTGTCCAGCTGAGCACAAGCAGCAGAGCCACCCAGCTAAATGTGCACAGTGAGGCTACCACACTCTGGAAACAGAACACCCACCCGTGGAAATGCAGAGAAAACAGCAAAGAAACTAAAGAAGTTCTTGGAGCAAAGGCCATACCTGCGAACTTTCCAATTCCCACACAGAATGTTGTGCTTAATTTTCTTCTCTTGTTCTTCATTCATATATGGGATTCCGTTTTTGAGAAACTAAGGACAGAAACAGAACGAGGGACTAGTCAGAGGTATCCTCTGTACCAGGCAGCAGAGGGAAGGGAAACCTTCTGTCTTACGTGGACAAGAGGAGAAGGGGAAGGGATGGGCTACACAGGCCGGTGAGACTGGAACACACTTAAGACATGCCCATTTCCCTCCTCGATGCCATACCTTGTTGTAGTTGAAGCCATAGTGATTCAAAAACTGAACACTAGAAGCCTGGAAAGAGAATTCTGAATCCAAAATCCCAAATGTTGTAGGGAAGAGAAAGAAGTTGCACGAATGGGCTACATACCTATGAAAAAAGAGACATAAGGAGAAAAAGCCAAGACCATTTTATAAACTCTGGCTCACAGAGCAGACTCCAGGGTGAGTTCTCTTACATAAGTGGTATCTGAACGTCTGCCGAGTTGCAGGTCCTAGGCCTAGCACTGGGCACCAGAGGAAAAAGGCAGACATCCCGCCCTTGGGGAAGAGGATCTGCTGCAGAGACAGGCCCGCCCTCCACAAGCCCTCTGGAGCTGTTGGCAAGTCAGGACGCCCAGCTCGGCAGCCGCAGCAGTTCACAGGTGGGGGCCACCCCACAGATCAGGCATCCTTTCTGACTGTGGGTGCCTGTGAGCTACCGTGTAGTTTAAACACCCCTGTCTCCCACCGTATTGTATTAACTGCTTTAACACAGGCACATGGCAATGGAAACGGGGAAAGGAGCCCTCAAGGTGCAGAGCGGCACTGGCGGGAGAGCCCCACAGGAACGATACTGCTACCAGAGAGGAGCAAAGGGTAAACCGCAATCTGCTGGGGCCAGTGCAGGCGGAAAAGTAGACATAAGTGAGAGCCTGAAGCACCCAAGGCAAAAGTGACCGGGACACCCCAGGCAGAATCTGAAGGGGGCAGTTGTGGAACACAGGTGAGAAGGAGCCATAGGTTTCACAGAAGCTCTTTATACATACTTGTTTGCCTCTCTTTCCATACTGGAGAACACAGACAATCCTAGAAGAATGATAGTAGATGGAATGAATACCAAAGAAAAGCTACCTGAAGTTAACTACAGAGACAAAACATTTCGAACAGTACTTTGTATCCAGAGATACTGTGCCGGCCGAGGAACAGTAAACATCTTTATTGATAAACAAAAGGGGGAAAAAAAAAGAGAGACCAGAAGCACAAGAACTT